AATCTGATTGGATAGATCGCATCGCGGACTGGTCTAGATTCTCCGGTATTAACCGGTCAGATCGCATATTAATCTTACGGCGAAAACATTTTTTTCCAAATCGATACATTGAGATTGAAACTAAAAAAGTAGAYMCGTTTTATTCGTCRTACTTWWGYATGGATGACAACCCTGAGTTTTATTACCCTGAAGATCTGGAGGACGACTTGGATTTAGCCAATGCGACAGCAGTGTTTGAGTCGCAAAACAGCAACAACAACAATAACAACAACAACAACAACAAAGATGAAGACGAAGAGATGATAAACAAATTTTTGAACGACCAAAAATCCAAAAACACAGGGTATAAAACGAAGAGTGACATGAAAGCCTGGCAAAGATTTTGTCAATCCATTGGAGAAAGCAGAAAAATGGAAGACATACCTGAACCTGAGCTGAATACACTGCTTTGCAAATTTTTCATCTCCATCCGCAAACAAGATGGCGGCGAGTATGAACCGGGAAGCATTACTGGATTTCAAAGAAGTTTCCAACGTTATCTCCAGGAAAAAGATTCTTCGTATAATATTCTCAAGGATAACGAGTTTTCCAGGTCCAGAAGCGTCATTGCTGCCAAACGAAAGGATCTCACTGGCAAAGGAAAAGGCAATCTTCCCAACGCAACGAGAGAGCTGACGGCAACCGAGGTAAACACACTGTTTGAGAGCGGGCAGTTCAGTGTTGAAGAACCAAAGGAACTGCAAAAGGCTCTGTGGTGGTTCCTTTCCCTACATTTTGGTTGTAGAGCTAGAGATGAGAGCCGGAAGTTGAGCTGGGGAGATGTGAGCCTTGAAAATGACCCAGAAACTGGAGCTGAATATCTGGTGTAGAAAACAGAAAAAGGTAGCAAGACACGAACAGGCCAAGAAGGAGGGCACCGAAGAGCTTTCAATCCAAAAGCATATGCCAATGTCAACGAATCGAGATGTCCTGTTGAGTTTTACAAGACATTTAGGAGCCATCGATCAGAGTCTATGTTAATGTCTGATGCTCCTTTTTATCTGGCCATCAACCACAAACGAAAACCAGAGGATAAAGTTTGGTATTTGAATAGACCTCTCGGTAAGAATGAAATTGGAAAGTTCTTGAAAGAATCAAAAGAAGCGGTTCTTGGTAAGGAGAATCAGCAAGGCCTCAAGAGAAAACTGACCAACCATGCTGCACGTAAAACTAGCATCGGCAGGCTCCTTGATGCAAATGTGGAAGCTAACTATACGTGGCACATGCAACTAAGCGGTCATAAGAATCTGAAAAGCCTCCATAGTTATAAATCAGCGTCCCTCCAGAACCAAAGAGTAATGTCAGCCATCCTGAGCAAAGGTTCAGCTCCTTCGGCCTTTTCATCTACAGTAACCGCCGTTCAGACTCTTAATACTTCAACTTCCCTACTGGTGCAGAATGAAAATTTCAAGCCACAAGCCATCTTTGCTGGAGCAAATATCGAGAAGTTTGAAGGTTGCACGTTCAATGTGAATGTCTTTTGCCAAAAGTCTGCACAGCCTCAAAACCATGATGAGCTTGATTCTTAGTGTTTTAAGATAACATTGAACATTATACTTGCTTTGATTGCCTCCTCTTTAGGATTGAGTTTAAAGAATATCCCTTTTTGAGTAGTTTTTGCCTTATAATATCTGTAAGTTCTATTGAATAACTTGCCTTCGCACTTCTTGTCAAACTGGTTTATAACTGGTATTTTAGTAAAATCACTGGGAAGCCATTTGAGTGTAATATACGCGCGCGCTTCCAAAAATGGTTTGTTTATAAATAAAAAAGGCGCAAATGAAATTTGTCCTTTTAAATGAAAAGTGGTCATATAATAAAACTCTTATCAACCGAGCTTGGTCGGTCTGTACGGGATAATCTTGACCTCGGTCGGGTACAGACCTCGCTGCGCTCGGTCTGAACATTCCGACCTCGGTCAAGATTATCCCGTACAGACCTCCCGCTCGGTTAATAAGATCTAAATACTGATTGTTGTCAAAATCGATTAAAATTTTCGGTTAAGTCCATGCAAAAACGCCTTATTGTGGCAAACACCATGCAGTGCCGCAGGAGTGAGACAAGGCGGGTAACTGGGGTTGGAAATTCGTTTGCTTATGGTAAGAAAAGAGCGGGAAACTTTCACATTTACGAAAACTGATACAAGTCAGACGAACCTAAAAGAGCGGGAAAAGTGGATTACCTCAATGAGAAGCACCCATTTTCTCAGTTAATCACCCCTACCCCTCCCCTGCCCCTCCCCCTCCCATTCCTCTTTTCCCTCCTCTTTCGCCAAAGATGGGTGGCTAATCACCCAATTCCAATCCACCCCTCTTCCCTCCCCCTGCATCCGCCCTTGGAATATGTTTTCAATTTCTGGTACAAATGAAATGAAGTTGTTATTGATGGTGTTGGTGATGATGAAGTTTAGGACGATATGATACCGTTGATGATGAGGTGATGATGGAATTAATTGATGATTCAGTGATCATAATGATGGTGATGATGATAATGATAATGATATCAATGATGGATGATGCGGAAGAAGATGATAGTGATGACAAGGGACAAGACCAAAACAATGGACCAAAATGGGGAACTGATTTTCTTGATTCAGTAGGTGGGTACTAATAAATTAAATACAACCTCCCCCTTGGTGAAATGCTCGATACTGCTACTAATAATGGATGCCAAAATTTATTTCTATAATTTGAAGATTTTAGATATTTAATAAGGTTTAGTTGAGAGGGAGAAGGAACCTGCACAAAGAACCTCTTCAAAGGATCGGGGCTACTCATGGTTCAGCTCCCCATCGTTACCGTTGCTATGTCCCACAATCTCAACGAATTAGCTAGAGTATCTCAGAATCAGTTAAACACTGATCGCGAAAATAGATWATAAATTGTTTGTATTCTTTAGTGTCCTTTAAAGTTATTAGAAAATTGCCTTGTAATGGTCGTAGACTGACTCTTCAAAACAAATGCTGGTACGTAGTTGGGGAATTATTTGTGGAACAAGATTTTAATCATAAGGGGAAAACTAATGTCATTGTGTTTGATAGATGACAATTGATTTAAACATGTCATCGCCTAATTATGCACTGAATATTTCATCATGGTCCCCCCGTTTCAGTTTAAAACCAATATGTTAAGGGACCAGGATTTTATTTGTAGTCTTCTCTTCTACTAACCTATTATTATTGGGAACAGATAGCAATATTTATGATTATTATTTATAATTAGTTGTTTCCCCAAGATCTTTTGTGTTTAATCGATCACTAAAGTATGTTTGGCTAATCAAATTTGACATTCTTAGGCTTAATATTCAGACGAAAAATATTTGAGTGTAAATCTAAGG